TTTGAGGTTTTGCTCAATAATGGGGACATGTAGAATTGAGTCTAAATGCCATAGCAAGGTTCATAATGTCCACCGTGTGCTGTTCTTCTGTCTCTTCTGTTAGGCATTTCTTGCTTCAGTGCTTATTACCTTGTGGCATTTTGCTCCCTAGATTCCTCTGTCCCTGTGATATTCAAGATTCTGTGCTTATGCTTTTATTGCTTCATCTACATATTTTTCTCTCAGCTTTTTATTTGTTTCTGTATCATCTTTCAAAGTTCTAGCCTAGAGATCTTCTCATCTAAAACAACTCCTAGAACTCCAGACTGAAATATTTACCTCCTATTCCAACTAAAGGCACTCTGTGCTCATCTCTAAGCTGTCTCCTTCCTTAGAGCTAAATAACTGCTCCTGGCTTTAGTAAAGCATAAGCATGTTGAGGGAAGCCATTATACCATGGCACCAAGCCCAGGCCACAACATAGAATAAATATAGAAATGACTAGCAAGCCATTTTAATTATAGGGTCATCTCTGGTAGTATCTTAGTTACTCACCCATTACTGGGACAAAATACCCAACACTGCAAGTTAAAGGAAGAAAGGTTTATGTTAGCTCACAGTTTGTACATGTTTCAGTCCACAGTTTGAGAGGTTTCAGTCCATAGTTGGCTGGTTCCAAGGCAGGCTGATATGGCAGAAGGTCATGGCAGAGAAGAAACTGTTCATGGCATGGCAGGCAGGTAGCAGGAATCAGCTAGCCTCCCTTTCTCTTTTTATTCCATTCAGGCTACAAACCCATTGATTGGTACAGCCTCCATCAAGAGTAGGCTGTCCCATTATCCACCCCCAGAACCATGCTAAACCAATCAATGGACTAATGTAGTTATCACGCACCCATAATCCAATATCACACATCCATAATCCAGCCAAAAGCCCTGCCTATAAATGCATGGGGCTTTGGGGGAAAATTTATATATAAGTCATAACAGATAGTAACACTAATTTTCAGTTTGGTTTGTTTTACAGTATTCAGAGAATTGAATATATTTTAAGAGGTCATAGTATACTTATATATTTAAATCATAGGACTTGTGTTCACATCCTGTACTGTTATTTGTTTTAGTGTGTAAAATGGAGATAAATAAACAACTTTCTATACCAAAATTGCAGATGTGCAAGTTTCTGACACAATGTCTAGGCACATAGGTATATACTCAATAAATGTTGGTTTTCTCTCTAGACTTATTTTTATGGACTTTTGTAATACAAATGAAATTTCAAATCTGTATACTTTCTTCCCACAGTCCAATTGAGGTCCAGTATTACCTATTTTTTCTTGAACTGAACTTCAACATTAGTTTATAAAATAGATGATACAATCAATATTTCCTTTTTATCATCATAGGATACTGCACTCCTTTTAATTATTCATATTTCAGAACATATTTTTTATTTTATTGCCACAGACATGAGGGAAACTTTACTTTGTTCTTATTATCTAGAGAAATATCTGTCATCTTCTATCTCTTTGTACTTTTGTTTTTATTGGAAAACAACTTTAAGAAACATTTCCTTTATCTGCATTATAATACTGAATTGTCCTTTTTTATTCTTTCTATGGATATTAGAACTTATAATTTTAGCTCTTTCAATAATAGGGTTAGGACTTACTGGTCACACAGTATTTATTATAAAAGTGGGTCATGAAGTATTAAGTAATTTGCATTTTATTAACAAAGGTAGGTACAAGGTGAATGTGAAGGCAATTGAGACACGTTTAGCTGATACCAACAAGGAGAACAAAACACGAAATGAGATTACTTTAGTTTTTTTGATTTAGGATGAAATGCTAACTACAACCTACACAAGGAGTTCCTAAAGGAAAATTCTTAATAGACACTTATTATTACAAGAAAATTCTGGATTAGAAGGGGAAAAAAGCTTCAAAGATATGGGAATATATAGGGTATAAAAGGATGAACTAAGCTACTGTGGGATACAGTCAATGTCACTATAAGCAAAGAATTTCAACTTAGCATTTTGAGGACAGGAGTAATGAAAGAAATTTGTCATAAAGCAGTAATTCTCCATCGATGTCCCACTAGAGAATTCAGTTATCACAAGTTATGCTCCACTTATATGCCTTCCTAAAGACTGAAAGCAGTATGTGGCATAGGTGCTTTTGTATTGGATTAAGGCTATACGATAACACTGTAACCCATTTCAACTTCAGATTACTCTGAATTCAATTCAAATTAAAACTTTGATGCCTTTTGGTGGGGAGATTACTGACAAACAAAGAATGATTTTGACTATTTGGAACTTCAGAAGAAATTAAGTTGGCTCTGGTTTGCCTTGTTTATCACACTCTTGAAGAGTATCACTTAAAAAATGGTGGGAAATAAAAAAGAGTCTTAAGGTCTTGTTTCTAAGTTGGAAATAGAATCTTTTAGGATAACAAATCTCAATGAACAGTTAAAAGTTTGCAAGTACTAACTTCAGGCCCGTGTGTGTGTGTGTGTGTGTGTGTGTTGTCTATATTTAGGGCATAGTTAAACAAATGTCTTTTTAAAGCCCTTGACATTGACAGATTGCACCAGAAAGAAAGAAAGAAAGAAAGAAAGAAAGAAAGAAAGAAAGAAAGAAAGAAAGAAATCAACAGAATTCTGTATTGTGTAGTGTGGATTTCTCATTTTTTGTAACTACCTAAGAAGTAAAATCATTAGAACTATTAAGAAGAGCACATCTGATTTAGTTAGTTTGACTTGTTCTTGGTGTTTATTTTAGCTTCTAATGAAAATATTCATATTAATTTATATTTTGGATTATTTCAAAGTTCTATGCTTCTATGTCAGTCTATATTGAAATGTCTATTTTTGCTTTAGAGACCTTATGGTCAACAGGAAGAGAATAAAAAAAGATAATTTCTTAAGAGAACGATAAAGCAAACCTTAGATTATGAGACAATATTTACAAAAGACATATGAGATAGAGACTGTTAATAAAATATACAAAGAAATCTTAAATTCCATCAATATGAAAAGAAAAATCACTTGATGAAGAAATGGATAAAGGTTTGAAACAGACACCCCACCAAGGAGAACAGACAGATGGCAAATGAGCATATGAAAAGATACTTAATATAATGTCAATTAGGGACTTGCAAATTAAACAATCTATGCACCTGTTAGAAAGCCATAATTCAAAACATTAACACTTAATCCAAAAAGATATGGAATGACATGAATTTTCATTTGTTGCAGGGGGGGAATGTAAACTAGTACAACCACTTTGACAGGCAGTCTCAGACAGCTCCATATAAAACTAAACATATTGTTACCTCATGATCCAGCAGTCATACTCCTTGATATTTATCTGAATTTGTTGAAAACTTATGTCAGCCCAAAAACTTGTAAATAAATGTTTAGCAGCTTTATTTGTGATTACCAAAACTTGGAAGCAGCCATGGCATTCTTCAGTAAGAGAATGGAGAAATAAACTAGTGTATCTAGAAAATGGAATGTTGTTCACCACTAAAAAGATATGAGCTAGCAAGCTCTGTAAAGACATGGAGGAAACTTACACACATAGCAATAAATGAAAGAAGCCAATCTGAAAAGGCTCATACTGTGTAATTCCAATAATATGACATTCTGGAAAAGAGCAAAAGTGTGATTTCATTATAAAGATCAGTGGTTGACTGGAGTTAGTGGACAACAAAGGTTGAATAGACAGAAGCAGGACAGGTTTTTCAGGGCAGTGAACTATTCTGTATAATATTGTAATGCTAAATACATGTCACTATATATCTGTCAAAATCCAAAGAGTATAAACACTGAAGCCTCATATAAAGTGGCAGTTTTGGGTGATAATGACGAATGTGTAGGTCCATCAGTTACAAAAAAAGTACCATTCTGGTGGAAGACATTGGTATCTAGGAAGTTGTAGGTATATGGAGTAAGAGGGTCTTTTGGAATTCTGTACTTTCTGCTGAATTTTTCTATGAATGAGAACTGTATTAGAAACTTTCCTCAGTAGAATAAGCCCCCATGTCTCTGGGCTACTACACTTTTTATAACCTTTCTTTCATTGAATGTGATAGCTGAAAGCCCAGTGCACTTATTTAGCCTAGGAAAGTTTGGGAAAGCTTTCACAGGGGTGGTAGGACTCTCGGGCTGGGATTTGAAAGGCAGGTAGCATTTTTCCAGGAGGATGAAGGCTAGAAGAGAAGGAAGGGGAAAAATAAAACCTTGAAGCAGGATGCAGGAGTGACATACACCGTGATTGGCTTATAATTCAACTGAAACTCAAAAGTTTATAGTAACCCAGGTCTAGTGGCATCCGCCTATAATTCCAGAACTCAAGAAGATGAGGCAGGAGGATTGCTTCAAGCTCCAGGCCCCTCTGGGCTGCATAGAGAGTTCAGGGCCAGCCTAAACTACACAGCAAGACCTTGTTTCAAAAAATCCCCTTCACTCTAATAAAAGTTTATAGTTGATAGAAGGTAGGGTGTTAGACTAGTGGACAAGTTGAGAATGTTTCATAGCCATTTTAAAATGCTACATTTGGAGTTTATCTCTAGACCAGACCATTGGATATTTGTGATGAATACTAGAACTAACATCTACTGTATATTTTACTTTGTTGCTTTTGGTTTATGTTATCACATGCAATCTTTATAACACTCCTCTGTGTTGGATGTTATTTGTGTAAATCTTTTTATTTTCCTGGTACCAGGGATCGAACTCAGGACCTTGTGCTTGTGAGACAGGTGCAGTACCACTGAGCTAAATCCCCGGCCCTTGTGTTGGACATTATTATTTCAGTTTGACACTGAGGCAAAGAAGTGTTAAGTAGCTGCCTAGGTTCGTAAAAGTAACCAGTGGTAAAGCTGAGTTTTGTCATATTGAAACTCAGAGGGATAGTACAGGCAAAACATTCAGAAAGGGAGAAACTAAATGCAGATCTGATAATATTGCCATTTTTGTTTTCCCAGGCCTGAGAGCAACGAAATAGAACAGTAGCTGCAATCAACTCCAGTCCTATCAAGCCTTCATGATGTTTTCCTTCGCCAAATGGGTGCTGCTGAATGGTCTCAAGAGGCAAACCATTCAACGTATTGCAGCAAGACAAATCCATATGAAACACTCACCAAATTTTCATGACAAATATGGCAATACTGTGCTAGCTAGTGGAGCCATTTTCTGTGTTACTACATGGGTGTTTTTAACTACACAGATGGGAATAGTATGGAACCCTTCTCCTGTTGTCCAGGTCACCCCAAAAGAGTGGAAAAATAAATAATCATCACTATTACTATAATACAGAATTGTTTCAAACCCAACTTGTTATGTACATGCTACTGCTCATTTAAAAACAGCACAACTGAAGAAATAAAATATATTTGAAGTCATGTAAAAGTTGTCACCAATACTCATTTTAGTGCCTGAAAGTAGTGGACATTGATTATAGGGGATTGTGAATAACAAATATTTGAAAATAGCATTAATAAAGTCTGGCTTATGGCTTACCCTATGTATCCGTCAGTTGATGTACACATATATGTACCTTATGAATTAATTTAATTGGCTGGCAAATCTTATAGAATTTTTAAAAAAATTATTTTCAGGAACTGACCATTTTTCACATCCTTCTCTACCGTGGTTTGAACCAGTCACTGATGCACTCACTGGGGTTATACAGATTTGCTGAATAGTGTCCTTGCTTCTTTCCTTGCTATCCCCCTAAGCATGCACACCACTCCACTAACAGCACAGTCTTTGTCAGCACAGCAGCTAGAGTGATCACTTTAAAACATTGACTAGTGATGTTCCTTCTCTCTTCAAAACCCGGTGACTTCCTGTTTCTTTCCAGAGGTAAAGCGGAAGTGCATAGAAAGGTACAAGAGCCCTGTAGGTGCTACCCTGACTAGTTTTTACCTCTCACATCAAGATGTTTCCATCTTCCCAGTGCATGGGATATAGTTCTCCAGCTGCTATGTGACTCACTGCCTCACACTCTTCTGTTTGTTCATAGATGATCTTTTCAGAGAAAACCTATGACTACTTTTTAAAAATTGCAACCTCTCTTTTCGGCTGGCTTTTTCTATCTTACTTCTTTATCTTATTTTTCTCCTTAGTGCTTATCATCACCTGAAATAAGATATATTTCACTTATTTTTTATTGTTTTGTGTGCGACCTGTATAAAAGCATACTTTTGGGAGTGCTTTTCATGATTTTGTCTTTTGAACAGGCCTTGGCATATTAGACTTTATATTAAGTTGAATTAATGAATTGTTAGCTGACTTTATGTAATTTAGGGTTCTTGTAGATCTGAAAGTATGATCTTATTTACCACTATAGGTTACAATGATTATTGAAGAGCATATTATATTTATCATTTTATAAATACTCAAAACTCAGAGGCTTAAAGCCTCTATTGTGGGTCAGGAATCTGAGTATGACTTGGTTGCATACCTCTAGTGTAGTGTTTCATATTTCTACAGTGTCAGACAGGGCTGCAGTCATTGAAGGCACAACTAACCGAGGGAGGATGTAAATCCAGACTCACTCATGTGGTTGTTGGCCAGCCTCAGGGCTTTGTTGGATGTTGGCTGGATATGTCAGATTCTTGTCATGTGGGTCTCTCCATAGAGAAGCTCATCCCTCAGTGTCAGGATTCCCACGACAGAAGCCACACTTTGTCCACTAATCTTGCAAGTGAAATTCTTTTACTTCTACCATAATCTATTCAGTAGAAATAAGCCATTAAATCAAGCCCATGCACAAGGGGCAGAGAATACACAGGTCATGATTACTGATGACATATCACTGGGAAAGAGAAGCACTGTACAGCAGAGTCAGCAAACAGATACTCTCTCTTCCACTGAATGACCAACTGCAAAGTGTCTGTTCCTCAAGCTCAAATATATATTTGGTATCATTGTTCTCTAGATAAAAGGATATTATATGTGCCCCTTCCCATGTTACTATTTAAGAATTCTTCTTATGTCCTTTCTTCACTTGAAATTGTTAGGTTTTCGGGAATGCCCATATTATTCTTTGCCAGTATTTCTAAATCATTCTCCAAAGTCATTAGTTTTTTCAGAAATTTTAATATTTGCTCCTTTGATAAGTATGAAATAGTAGCTCATATTTTAATGTATATTTTTCTGGTCATTAATGATCTATATTTAGCTTAGATTAATGATTGTATATTTAGCTTTCTGTTTTTTTCCTGTTGTATAAATTTTCTGTTGTTCATTTTGTTGCTACTTTTCTTTTTGGTTATTTGTCTTATTCATTTATAGAAATGTTTTGTATATTGTGCATGTTAATTGCATTGCTCAGGGTTTAATGAGTAGTATAGAATATAGGATTAATTGTGGAAATTGGAATGAAAGCAAGTGGTAGCTGGTGAAGAAACCTGTACAAGGCATTGTGTCTCATATAGAACACAGTCTTAGTAGAGGAGAGCTGCATGTGAAGTAGGCAAGAGCTAGGTCCAACTGGAATTGGAAAGATATACTGATATCACAATTTCAAATTGGGATGGGAACCGGTGTGTCAATGTCTCTAAGGTACTTGGATGACCTTCAGAGAAAATCGATGCCCTTCACTATGGAATTACACATTTGCCTGGCCTAGAGTCTCTAAAGGTGAAGGAGAAGAACTGGTAATTATAATAGATATTGGCCCAGGTACTATTGGAAGCAAGCCAGAAGATCTACAACAAATTACACAAGCTACGAAAGTACTCTGTGCTCTATGCCAACTTTTAAAGTGTAATATGTTTGGTGTTTCATGCCTGTTTTTCCTAACTCATGCTTGCTTTTTTGTGTGACCAACTCTAACCTGAAACAATAGAGGGAAAGGAATACTGGTGCTATTGCTTGGATCTGGAGTGCCCCCCAAAAGTCAGTCCATTTGTTAAAAGCTTTGTTTCCAGGATGGTACTGTTGGTAGATGGTTGAACTTCTAGAAGATGAAGCTGAGTGAGATCCTTAAAACATAGGTGTACCCTTAGAAGGAATTGTATGATGTCATTTTCTCTCAGAATTCCTGCAGTAACATTTCATTTACTGCCCTCACCAAAGGCCAAACCAATTCAGTTGCCTAATCTTGAACTTTGAACATCCAAAGCTATAAGCTAGGTAAATTTTTTTCTTTTTAGTTTGCCAATTCATATATTTTGTTATAGGGATGCAAAGCAAACTAATACAACTGGAAAAAGTAGTTCAAGTTTACCTAAATTGAAACTTAGAAGCTTCTCTTAACTCTACCCTGTGTCAACCTGACATCAGCTTTCCTAATCATTCTTACATTTCTAATGAAGATAGTAGGAAAATATCCTTCCTCCTAAAATTAGGAAAGTTTCCATAATAAAACTAAAAACATCCTAGCTGTCTTCCCAGAAGGGTACAAAGTTCTCTTAGGGTGGCAATCTCAACCTCCTTCAATAGCACCATTGTTGTGATCTCTAGTGGAAGCCTAAGACTTTTAGACTAGTAAACCCTAAATTTGTGAGGACATGCACCAAACATTTCTCTAGTGGAGCACTGTGGGTAACTGTGAGAGGAACCATCCCATATTCTGTTCTTGATTTCTAAATCTGTAAACCCTGGCTCTGTGACAGTTTGCCATGTATTTGTTCCTGATTTGAAGCATGCCCAACATACTGAAACCCATTGAACTGTTACTAACATGTCAAAAGGCCATTACAGCATTTTACCAGTGATAAGAAACCTGGGTAGACCAGCATCTCCCATAATATGAGTCATTGTGGCACTCATTTGCTGCACAGACTTGGTCAAAATCAGGACAAGAGATATATACCATGATGCTGAATAAGGCATTTTGGAAGTCCATGAATGACAGTATTCACACATTTATAGGAAGAGGAGGTAAATCTATATAAGTAGGGTATATTCAAGTAAGAACACAGTGCTGCCTATTCCATGATGGAAATGATTCAATGAAATCAACCTGGCACTGTTGGCTGGCAGATCTCTTTTCCCCCAAGGAATGGTGCCAAATGAGGACATAATGTATGATTTGGGCATTCACCAGTAGCTGTGTCTAGACTACCTGTGGTCAGTGGAAGTCTGTACTGTAGAGCATATCCATAGTCTCTATCCTTTTTGCCATAATCACTCTATGTCTGAGTCATTATGAAAGCACAGGTTAACTGGGTAAAACACTGGTGGCTATAGCACTGGACATTTTTTTCCACCTCATTATTAAGATACTCCTCTGCTGAAGATTCTTTCACTGAGAATTTATATGGGACATAAAGATCTGCTATGCTCATTTGTAGAAATCTGTTCACACAATCTTTCCTCAGATGTTCTGTTACCAATTTTTTAGTATTTTTTTTTTACTTCCCGACCCGTCCTGTCAAGCCATTGGCTGCTAACCATGGCTCAGTGTGGAATTGTACCTCTGGCCACCTGTCCTTCAGAGTAAATGACAGTTATTTGTACTACTTAATGTATTGCTTCTCAGAAAAAATTTTCTTCTGGACACACCTGAAATTAAACTGAAACCATCCACTGACAGATAATATCTGGGGTATTTTGCCAAACCAGATCTGGGATTTTTCTTCTTTGGCAAGCTAGTGTCAAGAAGCTCTCAATGAGGTCCTAGTTTCACATTTCTATAAAACCTAGGTTCAAAGTGGTACGAAACTTACCCAGATATACAACTTACAAACAGTGGGTCCAGGAATCAAGCCCACATAGATCTCTCCGGCTTTAGAAATTGTCTTGTAGGGCCGGGGATTTAGCTCAGTGGTTTCGCCGCCTGCTGCGCAAGCACAAGGACCTGAGTTCGATCCCCGGTACCAAAAAAAAAAAAAAAGAAAGAAAGAAATTGTCTTGTAGTTCCCAGCTACATTGTTTTCAAATTTTTCAAATATATGTATATATGTATATGTGGTGGAAATTCTGAAGATTCAAGCTGAAATTAGAAGAGAATGAGATTTTTCGAACTATGGGAGAAAGTTCTTCAAGAATGTATCAACTAGTTAGTGGATAAAAGGAATGAGTCTGACATGTAATCAGTATTTTAAAATGAGATTATTTTATTTTTACTTTTCCTATCTTGAATAGTATATTTTTATTTGAAATTAGGATTAAAGTCCTAACTCTTTAGATTTATGTATGTGTACATGTAAGTTTGTGTAGAGAAAAAAAATGTATGTGTTGTGTCTGTATAAATACATAGAAGTAATATATATATATATATATATTTTCCTCAGAACACCATTATTTTAAAAATATACATTATATGCTTATGATTATTATTTTTGAATTTTAGTCACTGGTTTATTATAATCAAAGTTACATATTTAATATTTCTGTTTCTAACTTACCTC